AAGTTGCAGCTTGTCAACAGAAATCCGGTCGAGTTGATGCTGTTTTATTTGGAACAAGCCCTTACAAACATTTTCATTTCAGCGCTGTTTCGGTGGAAGGAAGACCAACACTGGAAGCGAAATGAAACAGTCATCGCAGAAATCCCCTAGGTAAACGATTTGCATCATTTTTTCAAGAACAGTTATTAGGCTGCCACCAGGGAGGACCTCGGTGGCGGATGTCGTAATGAAGTAGGCTTTATAGGCAGTGTGGGTTTGAGTAGTTGGATCTCAATCGGTTAATTTCAGTACTGAGTTCTACCTACGTCATTCATTACTCTTACAGAATTTTAGAGCAACAAGAACAAAACCAATTTTCCAAAATCAGATTTCAAATTTTATTGACGGATTTTAGTTCCTACACCAGTCGGTCAAGCTTCTCACCACCTCCAGTGCTCACACCAGAAATTCATGATCAAGAAAATGTCAATCCGTACGGAGTCGTGCAGGCTCCAGAATCGCCGATAGAAACTCCTGTCAAAGCTCCGTTGAAAAGACGGAAAATGGGTTTCATGGTGGACGACATTTTACAGGTGATGCTTGGCCTTCTTCATTTGTTTTTCTGCAATAGTGCCCAGTTCGAAAGAAAACTTATTTGTGTGAAATGGAAAATCCACTACTATGAGAAGTTGAGAATCCACTCACTGAAAACTTAGAAATGGTCGCTATTTCTACTTTCTACTGCATTTTTGCCTGTCTTTCCGAATATCCCGAGGTTATGCTAATCTTCCGAAACGATTCCTTCCTTTATCACTGTCTCTAGCAGTCACACAATAACAAGCGCAGTAAAGATTCCCCTTAAGAGCTGGAAGTCACAAATCACTTCATTTTTCTATTGAAAAAATGGTTTTCTTTTCAGCCAAGTCCAAAGAAGGCTGTCATCGCTCTCCGGTCAGAAGAACTTGAGAAATGATCCTTGAGATTTCGTTAGCTTTCAATTAGATTTTTCTTTTCACGCTGTTTTAGATGGCGGTCATTTATTTTCTTTATTACATTTTTCGGTTATTGAACATCGGTGCTTTTGCATAATGCCTATTTTTGTTTTGTATTTCATTTTGTTTTTATTTTTTCTTCAAATAAAACTACAAAATCATTGTTTTGAGTGGGTTGTTCAGAATCTACCGAGTTTAGCTGAAGGAAATGACATCGAACCTCGTGGATTCATTTCCTATTTTAGGAGAACAATCCGGACAGCATCGAGTTATAATAAGAGTTAATTATTATTATTAAGAGTCATTTATACTAAGCAGTTAATATAAAGCGCAACAATATAAGAATTTGACATCAACGTTACAGTCCTTCAGAACAATTACCGTTGCGCCTGCCAACCATGATCAACCGCTGAGTTGCCGCCAATTTCGTGGGAGCCTTGCCGTGAGAATGAGAGATGACGAAAGTGAATGTAGGCTGAGAAATCGTCACGAAAAAAAATAATCAAAACTCGATCTGTAAGAACATCCTACCCGAAAAATCAGAGATTCTGTTCTCACCACAAATTGCCTGCCTTGACCCCATCATTCACGACAAAGGAGAAAAGAAAACAAATAATTTGGTTTGTTGGCCCGTGAACGATTCGAAGAGCTCAACAGAATTGTTACGCATTACCAGAGTCCGCCGGACATCTGCACAAATCTGCGACAGGAACATTCCAATGATTTCGTAGTGCCTCCACTAGCAACTATTGTGGGTGTTCACCCACTGCATATTAGGCGTCGCCGTCCAAATTTTGAGAACCTTTGGTGTTTTTCGATTTAATTACTTATCTTATTTCTCTGATGTACTTATTCAGCATAGTATACATCACCATTATTACCAACATATAACCAATGCGAGGGTGGGTATTCAGTGTCTCTCTTATAGAATTTCATAGAGTTCTGATCGAAGAAATATTGGATGTCGATTTTGACTTTATGGTGATTCAAGTGAGATTCCGGAGGGTACAGTTTTTCTTCTCTAGAATGGCTGTCTTGGAGAGCAGTGAGTTGTCGACGTTCCTCTCACGTAGTACCTACAAGGACGGAGCTAAAGGAACGGAAGCCCGAGAGCTCAGATTTAATTTTCTTTAGCAACTGGCGCCGCAACGACCTCACAAAAAATAGATTTTGCCTTCCATTGCTTTCAAGTTGAAGGCGTTGCCATCAAAGCTGTCAACGATTCTTCCCATCACTGACACTGGTATTAGTTGATGCCGGTCTTCAGCGCAAAGGCCCTCCCGTATTGCGCCAACGACTCAGGAAGTTCGAATTCAGAGGGAGTTGGGTTTTTACTGTCAGAACTCCCGAATCGTTTGAGCAAATCTACTGCGGCTCGTGGATTTGTTAGCACACTGCACCCAGTCCACATCACCAATGAGTATTATAGATGGTCATCCGAAGGAACTATAGGAAACCAACAGGAACTTGATGATGTCAGATTGGGTTGAGAACTGATTCGGGACTACAATTTTCCTTCGATCAGAACTCTATGAAAGTCCACAAGAGAGGCACTGAATACCCACCCTCGCATTGGCGATATGTTGTTAATAATAATGATGTATACTATGCTGGATAAGTAGATCAGAGAAATAAGATCCTACTATATATAATCGGCTAAGCGGTTGTGTGTGTGTGTCTGACCGGAAATTCATAACTTCGTTCCCTTTGGACCCAGAGCGCTCAAACTTCTAGGATATATAGGGGGCCGGCGTGAACACTGATGAGTGGGTGGCGGGAAGTGATAACTACTGATAGAAGCTGATAACGGACGTCGAAATGTTGATGTCACCAATTTCGTTACACCGTTCGCGTTGATGGTGGAAAGTTTGCACTCATATAC